TATCAGTCTCCATCCATGGTGATTACAACAACAGGTGTAACTTTCTAACTACTTGTCATTTCTTATAATGTGGGCATGATAATGCCTTTGCATATTGAAACAGATACTATTATAAATTAATTTTACTTCTCTTTTATATCAGAGTCAAGTCATTACATTTATGTTTTTCTATTAATTTGTGTAGGTGGGTTACATTATTCATTAATTTCATGTCAAGAAAGTAAAGACTAATTTGCTAAAAAAGATGATAGGGGTCTGATGGGGTTTACAAAATACTGAATTTAGGTATTACGATTAACCACTTTTCCTCTAAACAGAAAGCAAATCCTGGCATACTTTCCTAACAAATATTAATATGCTTGTGGATAGGGGAATGGATAGGAGGCAGATAAATGTGTATTAATTCAACATTAAGTGAGGATAGTTTTATGTTTTTATTTTAGGGAGTAACTTCACATTTTGTACAGAGAGCAAAGTTCTTCAGTTAAACTACCTAGATCCAAATCACGGGTCTATCATTTTTTAAAAGATTTTATTTATTTATCCAAGAGACAGAGAGACAGAGAGAGAGATCGAGAAAGAGAGAGAGAAATCACGAGCAGAGGGGGAGGGGTAGAGGGAGAAGCAGACTCCCCACTGAGCAGGGAGCCTGATGCGGGACTTGATCCCAGGACCCTGGGATCATAACCTGAGCCAAAGGCAGACGCTTAACTGACTGAGCCACCGAGGCGCCCCTTGTTTGTTTGTTTGTTTCTTTATTTATTTAGTGCAAGCAAGGAGTGGGGTAGAGGGAGAGAGATTCTCAAGTAAACTGCTCATTGAGCGTGGAGCCCAATGCAGGGCTTGATCCCATGACCCTGAGAACATGACCTGAGCCAAAATCAAGAGTTGGATGCTTAACTGATGGAGCCACCCAGGTGCTCCGAGTCTACCATTTTTTATGCCTTTTTGGATGAGTAACTCAGTCTCTCTTTGCCTCAGTTCCCTAGTGAGTAAAATAAAGGTCATAATAGCACTAACTGACAGGGTTCTTTATAAGAACTAAATGATACAATACATGGGATGGTGTTTACAACAGTGGCCAGTACATCAGAAGCAGTAAATACATGAAACCTATAATTACAACCATAAAACTTATCTTTCTGCAAAACAAAAATGTCTGAACTTCTGCTAAACTCCTTATCACCTGAGAAATCATTCCTGAAGAATCTGTGATTCTTTGATATGATGCAAAATAACTTCATGCTTTTTGTGAATATTTTCTCACAGAACCATATTAGAAAAGATTAGATTATCTTTTGAGTAGTGAGGTTTATTGCAAATTGCCAGAGGAATGCTCTGTAATGTACAAATATGTCTTATATTAAAAAATGCAAAAAGGGTACTGAGTATTATACAGGACGGATGAATCACTGAACTCTCCCTCTGAAACTAATAATACACTACATGTTAATTAATTGCATTTAAATTTTAAAAAATGCAAAAAGGTAATATATGAAGCAGAGCCAAAATATACTCCCCCATAAAATAAAATGTACTGCCAGTACAGACACACTGTTAGTTTTTGTAAGATGATTTAAAGTTTTCTTGTTTTTTTTTTTTTAAAGATTTTATTTATTTATTTGACAGAGAGAGAGACACAGCAAGAGAGGGAACACAAGCAGGGGGAGTGGGAGAGGGAGAAGCAGGCTCCCTGCTGAGCCAGGAGCCTGATGTGGGGCTCTATCCTAGGACCCTGGGATCATGACCTGAGCCGAAGGCAGACGCTTAACCATCTGAGCCACCCAGGTGCCCCTTGCCTTCTGTTTTTAAGCAGAAGACTCTATTGTCAGGCTTTCACCAGAACTAGATGTGGCTTTATTTGTCAAAAGCACTATTATGATGTCTGCAAGTGTGTCAGTTAGTGCTCTAACTGATAATGTTAGGAACAACTCCAGTAATAGATGGTGCATATAAATGTAATCAGGATTCTGGTGAGTCTAAGTGTTGAGACCTTCTCTTACTATAAGTACATTTGGAAAAGCCATGATATGGGATATTTGGTTGAATATATACAGAAAATGAGGAAAAACTTAAATTTCTCCTCATTTTAATTGTCTGAAAGTCACAGTAGGGAAATGATGTGGTGAAAACCCCTCATTATAGAAGATGGAGAGTGTAAGTTACAATCACTTTTGAATAAGAGAAGGTCCGGCGAGAAATAAGGATTTAGAGGGAAAAGCAGATTTGTGTATTCTATGCCATTTTTTTTTTTTTTTTTTTTTTTAAGAAAGAATCCTTTCATGGAAGAAAGAGCTGCTTAGGATTTCAATCTGCACCAAGTTTCATGTGCTCAAGGAGTTACTTCGCCATGCAGGAAAAAAAAATATGATTACTATTTGCCACAGAAGATTGTACTTAACATATTAATAGTATTATTTGCAGCTAATACTTGGAGAAGTTTTTCCTTATCTTTTTGAACCTAAAGTCTTAAAAAGAATACGTGTTTCTTTTACATGACACAGTCATCTTGCTATCTAAAACATTCTCTTTTTAGGCAGATACTGTTCATTCTCTAAGACCCTGTCACAAACCTATCTTGCTTTAGAATGTGCTAGGCATTTTGTATGTATTAAATTGTCAAATTTTATAAAAGAGGAAACAATAACTGAGAGATTAACTAACTTAACCAAGATCATACATAAAAACTCTTAAATTCCTCCTCCTTTCTCCTAGGGGCAACTTTCTTGAACCACTCTATGACTCATTAATCTTCCTGCTCTGAATTCCTACAACTCTTTTTATGAGCTGTGCCATGCAACTGAGCACTTAATTATACTCGTCCTCTTAGTGACTCTGGTTGTTTCATGCATGTCAGTCTCAGTATTCCAGCATCCCAGCATCATCAGTGGGAGAGGACAGAGTTGCTTCTTCTTTTGCATTTACTCAGCATAGCAGGGAGCTGAGATTTTAGTAGACCCTTAATGAGAGTTGCTGATTTGAATAAAACAAAACTTTAGGGGCGCCTGGGCGGCTCAGTCGGCATATTAGAGTAATAAAAGTTTCCACTTTGGGCCAAGTTAGATTATTCCAGTTCCAAGACAGAGGATGATTTCATGGCAATAAGAAAGAAGCGGGCCTTGTGGAAAATTCCATTATTCATTCTTATCTACAAGAGTAATTGTCAGCCAAACACCAAATACCAGGAGGAGAAACTATTCTGTTCATTTGTTCCTGTATTTAACATTCTAATAATATAACACTGTGCAAGGCAGTGTCCTAGGTACTAGTAAACAGTGGTAAACAAAACTATGACCCTGTCCTTCTGGAGTTCACCGTCTTGTCAAATATCTTTTGTGGTAGGTTTTGCCTTTAATTTTCTCTTTCTGGCTATTGCCTAATTCTGGTCTCAATAACCAAGATACATCACAGCTGTTGGGCAGGAGGCAGGAGCTCAGAGAAAGCAGTGGGCAAGGACGAAGGAGCTGCTGCTAGGAAAAACATGACACACACAGAGATGCAACCAAACTTCAATCCAAGCAGTATTCATTTCCTATTGCTTTAGTAACAAATTACCACAAACTTAGTAGTTTAAAACCACACAAATTACTTTTTTTATATTCTGGAGGTTAGACATCATAAAGATGTTGGCAGTGCTGCATTCCTTTGGAGGCTCTATGGGAGAATCTATTTCCTTACCTTTCCAGATTCTAGAGGCTGCCTTTATTCCTTGGATCCTGGTTTCCTTCCTCCATCTTCAAAATCCGCAGCACAGCACCTTCAAATCTCTTTCTCTCTTTTTCTCCCCTCTGCTTTGATTGTCATATAGTCAAAGACTGACACTCCAACCTCCTTCTTATAAGGACCATTGTAATTACATGGGTCCCACCTGGATAATCCAGCATAATCTTCCCATCTTCAGATCCTTAACTTAACCAAATCTGCAAAGTCCCTTTTGCCACAGAAGAGAACATATTCACAGGTTCTGATGATTAGGAGGAGGACATCTTTGGGGGCCATTATTAAAATAGCCTACAATCCAAAGCAAAGCAAATAGAAAAAAAGTTGGCCTGTTTTGCACCTTGAGTCAACTAACTGCACACTGGCATTCTGCAAGTTTGTTTTCTACTTCGACTATCTTGATTATCCATTTTAATTAGCTTTTCGTTATAAAAATGGTGGCGGGACGTCCCCTGCTGGTATTTCTCTGAGGCCTTGTAACTCTCTAACACCAGTTTTCTTCACAAGTCAACAAACTAAAACAACCAGAGACACTGGCATCCTTCTTAAGTTCTATGAACTGACTGCCATGAATACATACTTCAATAGGGCCAACCTTTCCCACCTCTCTGCAGAACTAAATTCGGGAATAGATTATTGGACTGAAATAGCTTTTCCAATTTCCTGCGGTGAGGAGCCACGAAGCAAGATTCAGCGAATTGACCCTGGCTTAATTCCTGCAGGCATTATGTAGCACAAACTCTTACTTTGAGGCAGAGTATAAATTTAGAACTAGCAAGGAATACTATGCGTCACTTTAGTGGTAAAAAGCTGCGGAGTAGTTTTTTCCCCCAGTAATGTTAGAGGTCAGTGATTTCTACTTGAGAAAAGAGAAACAATTTGCTATTCAAGTTAGTTTTAAAAAAAAGAGGTTTTTGCTCCTGGCTATTACAGGGTAACAAGGAATAGATTTACCTTCCTGCCTGAAAAATACTTAAGCAAAACCAGTAAAACATGTTTTCAGAAAACAACTGGCAGTGCTGTGCTGTGATCGCTACAATTACCCCAGCTTACATGCTGGAGGCAGTTTCCAGAGGCATCCTCCCCGCCTTCAGTCTCTGAGACCGAAATACATTAACGTAAGTCAAATTACGGCTTCACCCCACTAAATTCACAGAAGTGAAACTACGATAAGCTAGGACGGCAGGCAAGGGCGGAGCAAAAGCAGCGACTTCTCGCGTTCTGGTGGGATCTACGGCCCTGACGTCAGACGTCAACCTCGCGGAGACGCTCGCGAGATTAGAGGGTGGGTGGTGCCAACCGTCGGCTGGCGAGCCGGTGGCTTCTGTGAGGAAAACGGACGTTAGTCTACCGTCGGTCAGGCTGCTACTGACATGAGCGGCCTGGCTGGGGCTGAGAGGTCCCTGTTCCCCCAGACCGGCAGTCTCACGATTCCCGACCATGCCCCAGGAGACCTGGACGCAGACCAGTGCCTGAAGCTCCGTGAGGAAACCGAGGTGTCGCAGGTGATGGCGGAGCCGGGTGCGGGAAGCTTGAACACGGTCGCGCTCCCACCGCCTCAGCTTCCAGAAGAGCGGGGAGCCTTCCACGCCCCCGCGGGCTGTGGCCGCCCTGCCCAGATCCGAGGCGGTGGGAATCGCGGTTTCGCAGCGACCGAAGCGGGGCAGGCGGAGGCTCCGCCTCTCACGGAAGGCCTGGAAGCTGTGTCGGTGTCCGTGGCAACGGACAACAGCCTGGAAAATGGCTGTCAGAGTGGAGAGCCGCGCGGCCCAGGTGGGGAGAAGCCAGAGAGGCCGGGGTCTGAGATGTTGGCAGAGGTGAAGGCCAAGGCCCTGGAACCTGAGAAGTGCGCCATTTTCTCCGTAGCAGTGGATGAGGAGGTGGTGAAGGAAGGAGTGAAGGAGGAGGAGGAGGAGGAGGAAGTGGTGGTGGAGCAGAAGATGGAGGTAGAGAAGCAAGTCGGTGAAGAAACAGAAATGATTGAAGAAAATAGAGTGGTAGAGGAGGGGCAGGAAGAAGCAGGGCCCCGACCCTTGAATATGGATCTCCGCATGAACCCCCTGGAAGCCATCCAGTTGGAACTGGACACTGTGAATGCTCAGGCTGACAGGGCCTTTCAGCAACTGGAGCATAAATTTGGGCGGATGCGTCGTCACTACCTGGAGAGGAGAAACTACATCATTCAGAATATCCCGGGCTTCTGGGTCACTGCCTTTCGGAACCACCCCCAGTTGTCCCCCATGATTAGGGGCCAAGATGCAGAGATGTTAAGATACATAACCAATTTGGAGGTAAAGGAGCTCAGGCACCCTAGAACTGGCTGCAAATTCAAGTTCTTCTTTCGAAGAAACCCTTACTTCAGAAACAAGCTTATTGTCAAAGAATATGAGGTCAGAGCCTCTGGCCGAGTGGTGTCTCTTTCCACTCCAATCATATGGCGCCGGGGCCATGAACCCCAGTCCTTCATTCGCAGGAGCCAAGATGTCGTCTGCAATTTCTTCACTTGGTTTTCAGACCACAGCCTTCCAGAGTCTGACAAGATTGCTGAAATTATCAAAGAGGATTTGTGGCCAAATCCACTGCAATATTACCTGTTGCGTGAAGGAGTCCGTAGAGCCAGACGTCGCCCCATAAGAGAGCCAGTAGAGATCCCCAGGCCCTTTGGATTCCAGTCTGGTTAATCTCGGCCTTTGGAAATACTGCACAAGGTCCCCTACCACCTCTTGCTGGACCTGTGCTTGGACAACAGAAATGGGTATGCCTTCTGCCTTTTTTTTTTTTCCCCCCCTTTCCTGACGTTTCTACAACTTTTTTCCTCTGGACATTGTTTTCTTAACCTCAAGATTGAGACTTTCAAGGCCATGCTCCTCCATTTCCACATGGCCTTCATGCCATTCTGCATTACTGTCACATGCTGCATGGTCATGATTCACATTAACTCCTAGGCCAGGCTGTAAATTGCATTACCTTTATCTGCACTGCATGGACCCTGTTTGTTTCCAGGGCCTTTGGTCTGCCTCTTAGCACCTGGAATTCCAGCTTTGCCCTTAGTACAGGCACGCAGCCTGTGGACAGTTGTGGGGCAGAGAGAGCAGCAGTGTGCTACTTGTTCTATGTGATTTATGTAATTCCATTGCTCTTCTTGCACCTCTGGTCACCTCCTACTGCCTACTACTGGCTATGCCCACCCAGCTTGGGCTCCTGCCTACCTTGCAGATAATTGTTGGCCCTACTGTCTGGTTTCTGGCAGACCAGAATCTCTAGAACTGCTGGTGGACCCAGGTTTCCTGCCAGCACACAAAAGACCCTTCCATTCCTCTCCCCAAAAGACCTCCTTGATTCCTCACCTCCCTCTTCCTTCCGTCTCCATGATCCAGAACACTACTGTCAGGCTAATGATCAAGCTAGTGACAAGTTAGACCTTATTCTTATGGCCAGAGTAAGGATGGTGTCCATTCTAACTACCACGTTTTCTCAGCCTCAACTAGTAAATTCACACAAAACTTAGGTATACCTCTTGTGCCTCCTCTCCTTACCCTGAACGTGATTAAATGCCAGGGTGGCAGTACACTTTTTCTCCATCTGTCTCCTGTCCCTTAAAAAAAAAAAAAAAAAAAAAGTGATAGCTCAAAAGCGTCTGCAAAAGCAGCCCTTTTAGTTTAATTTGGCTTTAGCTCTTCATTATTTCCAGGGACAGGTTGTCTTGTAAAATAGATTCCTGGAGCTCTTATTTCTCTCTGCTCTCTTCTCCACCTTCCACCCCCTTTAGCGACACCTAGAGCGTTTAAAGGGAGACAGATCTAGTTCATGGTGGATGGAAGAACCAGATTGTGGTGGGTGCCCTAAGCGGGGAAAACTGAACAGAAGACCCCAGGCAAAAATGAGCAAGATAAAAATTGGGCTAAGATTAAGACTGGCTGACAGAGCCTTCAAGGAAGAGATTTTCTCTTTCAGTGGTAATGGGAGGAGAAGTAGTTTTTCTCAGGATTTCCGTGGGAGAATTGAAAGGGATTGGAGTGTTAAGTGTATTGCCTAGAGAAGAGTTCTTTAAAGAAACAAAGCAATTTTGGGTGCTTTCTCTTGTTTTCATTTGATTTAATTTATTCAGAAGATTACTACTGTGTTTTTTGTTTTCTGGTGTTTAGTAAAATAACATTTTCTGTTTCTGCTTACTGGGAAAATTGAGCTGTGTAGGCTTTCTTTTTGCTTTAAATTGGGAATATTTTGAAAAAAATAACAGTTTTACTTTCCTGTAAGATACAGAGACTTAAATGAATATGAGAGTTTTCGACTTCCTGTTTCTGTTAAAACTGTATCCTTAGAAATATAATTTGTGTAATTTGATTTTGTCAGAATCTGAAGACTGTAAATTGTTGTCTTCATGGAAGAATGCCTACAAAAGATGTTTGCTTGATTGTCTTACTTGATAATTTATCCTGGTAACAACTTAGTAATTGATGTTTTTTTTTTTCCTAAATATAAATACTTGTGAGATTGCTCTGTCAAATTGGAAATGTAACATTGGCATATTTGTTTTTCCTTATATGTGTCCTGGTAAAATAAAAGCATGTTACTCTGCTAGATTTCTTATTTTTCACTCTGCCCATAAACATGCGTGAAGAAATTGTTCAAAATAACAACAGATTATAGAATTTAAAATTCAAAAAATGGATACAACAGACATTATCCCAAAAATAAGGAACTAGGGCACACTGCTGTACCTTGCAAGGTTGGGAGGGTTGTTGCTATGGGTTTGGCTTTAAAATGTTAACAGGGCGCCTGGGTGGCTCAGTTGGCTAAGTGGCTGCCTTCGGCTCAGTTCATGATCACAAAGTCCCGGAATTGAGTCCCACATCAGGCTCCCTGTTTGGCAGGGAGTCTGCTTCTCCCTCCGACCTTACCCCCTCTTGTGCTTTCTCTCTCTCTCAAATAAAATAAAATTTTAAAAAAATAAAATAAAATTAACAATTGCAAGTGCTTACTCATGATGTCACTTTTTTCTATATAACTTGTATAGCACCACCACTTCCTTCACTTCCTTAAAGCCTCCATTTCTGTCTGTAAATGATACTCTCAGGTCATTTGGGTTCTTATTTTTGTTCACTTGCACATTTAATAAGCAAACAATTTCTATCATAAGTGATAAATTATTCTATCCTCATACTTTCTTAGCTGTAAAAACTTATTCATTCTTTTCTTCAAAACTCCCCACCTTCTATTTGTGTCAAATTTTTCAAGGCCTGAGAGGTAACTCTTCTGCCTTAACAGCTTTTCTGTTCCCTTAGGGAAAATGAAATGTCTTCTCAAGTACTTGGTGTACTTACAGGGACTTCTTTTCTAGAAAATAACATACAGTTTGTTAACAGTGAATTCCACAAATATTTATTAAGGCATTTTGTCAGGTCTTGGGAAGATAAGAATAAGAAGATAAAGTCATTCCCTTTATTGTTAAAGAATTGGGGAAAAACTGATAAGCAGACAAATGACACTGATACACTAAAATACAAATACATTTTCACAGGTTTTTCCACTCTTTCCCTATCTAATTTGGAAGCTTTGTGAAAGCAGAGGTGATGGGATATCTTTTATATCTCTCACTGCTTCTAGCATGTTTTGCTCATAGTCGTTACCAGATAAATACTGAATGACAAAATGAATAACTCAAATGGAAAAAAAGAACAAAATACCCTGGTACCCAGAAAGACTTGATGAAGTAATGGGAAGAAGATGGTTTTTAAAGCAACTGTAAAATTGACGTAAAAAAATTTACAAAGCCTTTCTTAAAAGCAAATTTCTTGTTTAAGTGATTAGAAAAGTCTAAACCCTGTAACATTTAACCTTTCACTTGCCATTGTAACAGAGCATTACTTAACTTTGGATCAACAATTATGTGCTTTATTTTTGTATATTTTAAGGTGACTGTTAACACTGGAGATAGGGAGTTAGACTCTAGACATGTGCTGTCCAGTACAGTATCCATTAGCCACCCATGGCTACTGAGCACTTGAAATGTGTCTAGTCCAAATTGAGGTCTGCTCTGAGTATAAAATACACACTGGATTTCAAAGACTTAGTATGGAAAAAATGTAAAATACCTCAATTTTGTATATTGATTGCATGTTGAAATGGTATAATATTTTTGATAAGTACATATAAATATATTAATAACTTCCCATTTTTTTGTGCTACTGGTAAATTTTAAATTAGATGGGACAGCATGATTCTAGGCTTCTTGAATATCTCAAAGTGTATAAAATACATGTGAAAATTAAACTTTCTCCCCATGAAATTTTTTGTGACTTTAAGACAAGGGTTATCTAGTTAAAATTTAAGATGGGTAAAGTATAGCTAGATGCCAGTGGGTAAAAAAAGGGTAAAAACGAAATGTCCTTTATCAACTTTTCCTTGAGTACCTAAGATACTCAGTACTTTGCAGGGTGGCTCAGTCTGTTAAGTGTCTGCCTTCGGCTCAGGTCATGATCCCAGGGTCCTGGGATTGAGTACTGTGAAGGGCTCCTTGCTCAGCGGGGAGCCTGCTTCTCCCTCTGCCTGCTGCTCCCCCTGCTTGTGCTCTCTCTCTCCCTCTGACAAATAAATAATATTTAAAAAAAAAGATATACTCCATACTTTTCAAAACATAATGTGTAAAATTATGTTTCTGGATATAAGTAGGGTACATCTGGGTGTCAAATTGGCACTAGTAGTTACTATATTGGGTTATCTAAAGGAGTCCCTTAACAGTATTTAGGACCTGTAGCTTCATATTTTTCTAGAATAAAATATTCTGTATTTTTGTTTTATAAAAATGTAGCTCAGAACAGAAACAGTACATGAAGCTCAGAAAAGAAAATTTCAGTTATCAAATATACCATTTTGTGTATGTTAACGTAGGCTCTAAATTTTAACAATTGGCCAGGCAACAGAAAAAAATCTGAATCTAGCATTGCATCAAGTCAATTCAATGCTCACCACTTGAAGCATATTTTATTTTTGAAAAGTAGTGGAGCCTTGCAGCAATTATTATTTTGTATTGGTTATTAAGGATTATATGGGATAGTAAAGTGAAGGTTGTCCTTGCTCTTGAGGAACTCACTCTCATTGAGGGGTTATTTTTCTTTGAATGTTCCCTCTTCAGCAAATTCACATACTCAAACCAGTCATGTGCACAAGAAAACTCAGGATTAACATGGCAAAAAGGTGTCAGAGATGATCAGGACTGTCCTTTCAGGGCTAACTTCCCCTCCCTCAATATTAATATATAATTGAAGTCCTAGAGTATGAATGTGGTGGATATAATATTTATCCATTCACTAGATAGAAGGGAGGTATTTCATTTGTGAGCAGTGCTTTCTCCATGTTTGCTTCAAGTGTTTTATTTCAGTTCTGAAGGGCCGCTTTTAATACATTTTCTTTGGCCTCTGCGGTTCTCAAGACTTACAGAAGAGTTTCTGTCAGGCCACATTAGGAAAATGTCTACTTTTTGGCTTCACTTTTTCAGGATTTGCATTTAATGTAATTTTTTTTTTTTTGAGAATAGGTCAGGAAGAAATGGTTCTATTAAAAGTAAAAAGGGCCACTTAAGGAAGCTGCTAATTTTTATAAATACCCAGATGTCTTATTAGTGGCCTGAAGAGACAGAGAAGACACACTAGCTTTATTTATTCAAAGATTTTATTAAGTAATTTCTGCACCCAAAATGGGGCTTGAACTTACAACTCCGAGATCAAGAGTCACATGCTCTATTGACTGAGCCAG